GATGCCTTATTGGTAAAGGTTTTTTCTCCGTTCACACCCTACAGTAAAAGTATATTTTAGTTAAGAGAAATTGAGGGAGGAGAGGGGAAGGAAAAATTGTTTTTTATTTGTTTATCAAAAAAAATTTAGAGAGGAAGAGAAGGGAAAATTTTTTTTTTATCTTTTTTTTAAAAAAATTTATCTAATTATCTAAATAAAGAAAAGGTATGGAAAGGAAATGGAGGAATATAATTCTTCTTTCCTTCTCTTCCTTGTTCTCCCCATTTCCTTTAATTTAAACATAGTGTAAGCAAAAAGAAAAAAAATGAAGTATACTTGCTTTACTTTACCTCGATTGTTTACAAATTTCACAAGGAGCGACTTATCATCACAATTCCAAAATCTAATCACAATATCACTTGCTAAATCATATAAAACATATCATTTAAACGTAATCACTAAATCATAAATAAATTATCTCTAAATGAAACAAATAATTTCCTACTAAAATTCAATTAATGAGCTTCCAAAAACATATCCAACCAAAATATATCAAACACCTCCTTAAATGGAAGCTTAGCTGCAACAAAAAGAACTTTCTCCAAATTAATATCAACTAACTCAATAAAATCTTGATTAACAATTAGTGCCAGCAATATAAAACTTTTCTAGAGCTAAGAGCTAAGTAAAAAATTCTCAAAAGTTTCAATAGTTGGACTTTTCCAACGGTTTTAAAGAGACAATTTTCTACAATTTTATGTAATATGTGTGAATTTAATTGGTTAAATCTCCATTTTGATTCTTTTCCTTTGGTAAAAAAGTTCTTTTTTAGTTTTTTACTTAAAACAAACTTCTTTCTAGTCCTTAAAATTTAAAATTTGACTCTTTTTTAATTATTTTATTAAGTTCTATATACGTGACACGATAAATAATAAAAATTTTAAAGTAGAGAGGTCAAAAAAGACTAAAAATAGTCTCAATTTGATCCCTTTATTTGGAAAAAAGCCCTCTTTTAGTCCATTTCCTTTGAAATTTTCATCATCTAATGTCAAAACTTAATAAAAAGACTAAAAAAAGACCAAATTTCAAATTTTATGGACCAAAAAAAAACTTTTTTAAGTATAGGGACTAAAAAGTTTTTTTACTAAAATAAAAAGATCAAATTAAAGTTTTAACCAACTTAATTTGGTACGCAGAAACTTACAATACTACATGCTTGACAGAAGAAATGAAACAACTCCACATTAAAACATCAAAGGGTTGTTGGAATAGGTTTCATATGTGTTTCGAGTCTTTGACCAAATCTTCAATGATCAAACCAGACAAAAACTAGTACCCTCTGATAAACATGGCTTAAGTAGTCTATACGATATTCCCACAAAAACCAAGTCAAGACCAAAGCAAAGCAATCCAAGCTTTGCATAACCATTCTATCTCTCTCTCTCTCTCTTTTCTTTTTTTGGCCACATTTACCTAACCCTTTGTCAATCCCCTCTTTTGTCTGAAATTCCAAGCACCCCCAACCCAAAGAGCAACAATGTGATTTTCTCTTTCTTCCCACTTTAAGTCCCTTCCCAACCCAAGATAAAACCTGTCCCCACTGTATTTTTCATGGTAAACAAACAACAAAAACATCCCAATTTTTTACTCCTCTCTTTATAAAAAGATTACCTCACCTTAGCATTCCAAGGAGAAGTGTTAGGTTTGAGACAGAGAGAGAAAAAGGATGAGCCTTGTGGTTGATAAGAACTTGAGGGGGGAGGGAGATAGAGAGAGAGGTGCCAAAGCAAATTAAAAAATTGAAGAAAAGCAAGAGAGACATAAATAATCCCCTAGTCAAGTTACCAACATATACACAAAGTAGCAATGTTTTCAAAGAACAAAGAACTCAAAACACTTTGAGAGTCTAATTGAGGGACAAAAGGCATATCACACGCAGGCACACAGCACACAAGGCCATAGGCACACCCAATATATATACAAAGCAGAGAGAGAAAAAGGTAGGGGAGAGTTTTTTTTGAGAGAGAAAGAGATGGTGGGCTCAGGAGCAGCAGATAGGAGCAAAGAAGCTGTTGGGATGATGGCCCTTCATGAGGCCCTCAGAAGCGTCTGTATCAACTCGGAGTGGACTTACTCTGTCTTCTGGACCATCCGTCCTCGCCCGTATGTCTTCCCTTTCTCCTTGAAACTTTCAACTTCCTCTGTTTCTCTGTGCTTCTGAACTCTGTTCCTGAGCTGTTTTCCTGAATTGTGTTCTTCTTTCTGTTGCAGAAGAGTAAGGGGAGGTAATGGCTGCAAGGTTGGAGACGATAACGGCAGCTTGTGAGTATGGTTTTCCAACACTTTTTATTTGGTTGCTGAGAAAACAGAGGAAAATGAGAAAGAAAGAAATAAATAACCCATGATTTGAATCTTCTAATTTCCAATCTTTTTTTTTTCACCTTTAAGTAAATGGGTACTTGCAATAAAGCGTTTTTCCTTCTTTTTTTTTTTTTTTTTTTTTTTTTTTTTTTTTGACCTTCCTCGCATTTTCTCAGCAACCAAACAAGCATTAGTACATTACTGGTTTTATTGTAGAAGCGGGGGAATAGAAAAACAGAGAGA